TCTCTGGGCCCCACATCTCATCCAGGTCTGGGGCATGGGAACTGCTCTCTTCTATCCCAGCAGCCCCTGAAGGAGGAGGAGGGGCGAGGGCCTCTCAGCTACGTTCCAAGCCACACAAGTGCTTTCCCTGTCCTTTCTGCTGCTACTGACACACAGTGTCATCCCGCAGGACAACTACACCTTTGCACAGCCAGGGATCCAGAAGAAGGTCAAAGCACTGGAGGAGCTGGTGAGCCGGATCGATGGTAGGTGGTGAGGAGATCTGAACAGGGGCAAGGTGGGGGCCACGTGGCTCTCGTCCATGACTCCCACAGCTGATGATGGTGGTCTTGGGTTGTGGTGTGTGGCAGACCGTTTTGGGCAAGCATGGTTTGACAAAGAACACGGATTGGCTGGTGGGGATGTGGAAGGAGACATTGTAGGAGAAGAATGGAGGTGGCATGCCGGGAGTTTTGGTTTCAGGGCTCATTTTGGAAGCATGGAGAGCCCCCAACCCCCTAGGTAAGGGTGCCATTGGTGTCTTTGGGCAGAGTGTCCTGTAGTTGTGTGATATGGCTGATAGTGGAATTTGGGGAATAAGTCAAGACAAGCTCTTGTCTGGGACGGTTTGGATAGGGCTGATCCTGCCTCAGATGGAGGGTTGGAGTAAATGACTGCCTGAGGGCCCTGCCAACCCTGCTTTTCTATGAATGGTGGGGGGGGCGGCATAGAAAGCACCTGGGAAGAGAGGGAGAGCGGTTTGAGGCAGGCAGCATCTTAGCCCAGGGGCTCAGGCCCCGCTGTGACCCCAAGGCGCCAATGGCATGTGCTGTTTCAGAGCAGGTACACAATCACTTTAGGAAGTACGAAGTTGAATACCTGCAGTTTGCCTTTCGCTGGATGAACAATCTACTAATGAGGGAGCTCCCTCTGCGCTGCACCATCCGCCTCTGGGACACCTACCAGGTACGCCACACCCAGTTGCCCACCCTCCCTTTGTTTACCTTAGTGTGGGCATCCAGCACAGCTGTGCCACAAGGACCTGGCATTTGCAGTCCAGTGCTGTTGTGGAAATGAGCAGCAGCAAAACGATCAGTTCCCTCATGCATCTAAAGTACCTTGTGGTGAAGCATGTTTGGAGTACCCTAGGATGGGCTGGGGACAAAGGCAGGTGAATCAGACCCCATTGGCACTAGCTTCCCCTGCCTCTGCGTTAGGGACTGACCCGGGGCTTTGTGTCCTTTGCAGTCAGAGCCGGAAGGATTCTCCCATTTCCACCTGTACGTCTGTGCCGCCTTCTTGATCAAGTGGCGGAAGGAGATCCTAGATGAGGAGGACTTTCAGGTGAGTCCCTGTGGAGTGACACCACTGGATGGGGGAGGGGGCAGAAGCATTGCCCCCAGAAGGTGAGTGGCTTGTAAGGAGTTAACCCTAAGCAGTCAATAGTGTCCTGTGTGGCTGTACATGTCTGGTGATCGTGCCCGAGCAAAACATCCTGGCATAAAAGCTGCACTCAGCTAAAACCCTGCAGCTCCTCCAGGAGCCAGGTAGCAGGAGGCACTGACTGGTGGCAGGGAGCCCTAATGCCACACACTGCGTAGACTCCTCGTCTGACCTTGCCAAGTCCCCACCTCTCTCTCTGCTTCTGTTCCACCAAAAAAGCGAGGTTGGGAGTGCCCAGGTTTAGTAGGGCTTTGAGGATCAGTTGCTTTGTGTCTCAAGTGCTCTGAGACTCTGATGATGTGAAGCTGGGGAGGGCAGGGTGCATTCCCAGGTGCAGCACAGTTCAGTGCAGAAGTAATGGCTGCTGTAGGGTCTGCATGCGGCTGCTGAAATCATGAGCATCCCAGCATAGGAGGGCACAGAGCTGGGTGGAGTGGGAGCAAGCATGTGATCCAGTCAGGCTCAGTCCCATGAGGGCATGTGTGCTGCATACAACATGTAAAGGCAGCAAGGCATGAGGGTTTGTACCCAGGACAGGTTCTTGGATGAGGGAAGATGACTAAATCAGGCTCCTCAGCCCCCCTCTGTACTGGCAGCAAGCGTGCAGCCTGATATGGTTGTGTCCCTGTGCAAAGGTTGGCAAAACCTGAGCCATGCAGATGCCTTTACAACCAGCTTCAGACCTGGTGTAAAGGTGCAACTTTGTTGACTTCAGCCAGGCAGCATGGCAGAGCGAGCAGGCCACTGAGCTGGTTCTAGGGCAGTGGTTCTCAGCATTTTCAGACCCAAGGCCCCCTTGTTAGACATGAGGCCCCCTTGATGCACCCCTCTGAAATGCCAGCTCTTGCTTTTTACTTGGTTTTTGACTACAGAAAAAACACTAGAGTAATTCTTCAGTTGCAAAAAACTCAGAAAGCCCACAGTAGGGCAGAATAGTTTTGACACGATGGATCACAGAATCATAGAAAATGAGGGTTGGTTACATCTAGTCCAACCCCTGCTCAAAGCAGGACCAGCCCCAACTAGATCATCCCAGCCAAGGCTTTGTCAAGCCAGGTCTTAAAAGCCTCCAAGGATGGAGCTGCCACCACCTCTCTGGGTAACCTGTTCCAGTGTTTTACTACTCTCCTAGTGGGAAAGTTTTTCCTAATATCTAACTTAAACTTCCCCTGCTGTAACTTGAGACTATTGCTCCTTGTTCAGTCATCTGCCACCACTGAGAACAGTCCAGCTCCATCCCCTGTGGAACCATCCTGCAGGGAGTTGAAGGCTGCTATTAAATCTCCTCTCAGTCTTCTCTTCTCCAGACTAAATAAGCCCATTTCCCTCAGCCTCTCCTCATAAGTCTTGTTTCCCAGCCCCCAACCCATTTTGTTAGGATTCCTGTTTGAAATCTCTGAGTTTATCTTGTGAATCAGGACTCTACGCTTGTGGGGCACCCTGTGGCACCCTTAAAAGGATTTCATGGCACAGCCCCCTGGTTGAGGATCACTGTTTTAGAAGGAATGTAGGGATCTGGTCCCTGTTGTGCACCTGATCTGCTTTGGGACTTCGGGCAAGTGGCTTCTCCTTGCTCTTCCTCAGTTTCCCCATCTGACCCCCCTGGTGAAGCACTGTGGAGGCAGTGAACAGGCACTGCTCTGTCTGGCAATGCTGGATTATTCAGTGCTGCTATACCTGGTTGTACAACCCTGAATCCAGACTGCAGCTTAGATCCTGCAGCCACTGCCCTCGCAAAAACCAAGCCCCCATCCTTTTCTTCCTTGTTTCAGGGTCTTCTCATGTTATTACAAAACCTACCCACAATACATTGGGGCAATGAAGAGATCGGCCTCCTCCTCGCTGAAGCCTACAGACTCAAGTACATGTTTGCGGATGCCCCCAATCACTACCGCCGATAGGTGCCAGGACTCGGCCCCTCCCCCACACCCGGCCCCTTCTTCTGGCCCGATCTAATCACTGTGGCATTTTGTCGTGGAAGTCCTCAGACACTGGCCAGGAGCCACTGCTCACTGTATAAAGCTCCCATCGACTTGTCTTAACTCTCAGTGTGCCTGCCTGCCACTCCGTGCACGTGGATGTGCCACTCCAGTTACCATCAGTATTTCATACCGTGCCAGTGGCCTGAGTCTGGGGAGGAGCAGAAAAGGAGGCAGGAGGGGGCAGTTCCTGCAGCTTGAAGACTAAACTGAGCCGAGGACTGGAAGGCCCCAGGCCTGGTCCAGCTGTGACCGACTGTCTTAGCCTTGCTGACTCTTGTTAACCCACTCAAGCACAGACACCCCATCCCCGCACGCAGCACTCCCCCAGCTGGGTCCATTCCCTCTTCAGATGCCGTTCAATCCAGCTCCCAGATGAAAATGCCTTACCAGAGACTCGCCCTGGCTGGAAGCCTTTTCAGCGGATGGCCACGCTGTAGGACACAAGCAGCTCTCAGAGCCTCGCTTTGCTCCACATGTCTGAAGAATCGCAGCACTTCAAGGGTTAACAAGAGACACACTCACACTCCCTTCCCGTGCAGCACGCCAACACGTGTGTGGCATGAGTACGCATGTTTGGGGGAGGGGGGAATGGCTGACCCACCCGCGCGCAGTCCTGGATGACGTGCGTCAACTCCTGTGAATAATCAGTCGAATCTGCTGTTGGCACAGCCCCTCCAGGGCAGGGGAGGGTGGAGGGGCTGTGCCACTGGAAACCCCCTTCCCATGACGACACTCCTCCTCCAAGGCGTTCTGTGTATATGGTGTTCTTGTGTATATGGGTATCAGATGTACAATATACGTCCTCTGTTTGTAGCAGATATGATTTTATATTTATAATGTGCGTCCCATGCGTGTAAAGCCAGCCTAGGTACAAGTACAGTAGGGCTCCAGTCTCCTCGGCATGGCGGGTTTTGGAGCTATAGGCACTTCTGCACTAGCACATTTGAAGAAATGAGGGTTTATTTCCTATCAGGAAAACTTGACTTAAAAATCTGTCTCGAGGCCCCCCAAGGTGCAAGAGGGGTTTCGAGGAGAGAGGGAGGAGCTTGCCGCGGCTGGAAGAACTCAGTACTCAGCCATGCCCTTTTCAGCCCGGCCTCCGGTGATCTCTGCCCAAGTGCTCCAGTGTGGCTCTAGCCACCTCTGCTGCCTTGGGTCATTACTGTACCATGCTGGAGGCCTCTTGTTTGGAGAGCAGCGAGCATCAGTCTGCTTCCCCCAGCTTTTCTCCCTCCCCTGCCCCACGGTGTTGTCCCATCAGGTCTTTAGGGACGTGAAGAGAAAGAGCCGTCCCCTCTTGCACGTCTCTGCACACTCCCGGGGAGCAGTGGGAACAGCGGTGGCCTCTCCCCAGACTCCCCACCCCTTTTCCTGACCCCCGCTCCTTGCCTCCATGTGCTTTTAAGGAAACCAGTTTTGAATGTTTTAAGGTAACACTTTAGTCCTGCCCGGAAACGGGATCCCCCTCAGTGCCAAGCAGTGTGGGGCACTTTCCTCCCCATGGGTTGCTTCCTGCTGGCATGACCTTGGCTCGTCTCCACAGGAGCCTCCGATGACTGTTCCTCAGAAAGAGGCAGTCCCAGGGGCTTCAAGTCAGATAAGCATCCCCGGAGAGGCCGGAAGGTGTGGGCGTGTGTGAGAGCGCCTTGTTGCCAATAAAACTCCAACCAGTGTCTCAAGAGTTGCTTTCCTAACCTGGAGTTGTTTTCTCAGGCATTTGGACTTGATTTTGTGTGCGTGCGTGCGTGTGTGCGCCTTTTGTTGTTTTCTGGGAGAGAGCGACCTAGTGGTCATTAGTTTAACATGACTAATTAAAAAACCAACAATGAGCCTGCGTTCTGGGAGCTCTTTTGTTTGTCACGGTTGGTGGGGACCAAAGCGGGGCTGGTAAAGACCTGCCTCAGGCCAGCTGGGTGACCTTCGAGACTTACTGTGCTGCCCCCCCTATCCTCCCTGAAATGGAGGTGGTGACCTTGACCTCCCTTGTCAAGCACTTTGCAGTCTCCCGAGAAGAAATGTTCACAAGGGCTCGTGATTGCTTATTACAACATTTTAACTAGAGGCAGTGCTGCTGCTTCTCTCTGAATTGACATTCAGGCCCTCAGTCGCCAGCCTTCATTTTAAAACCCCGGCTCTCTACCTGAGGTGCATTCTCATTGAATCCCGAATGGTTGGGTTTGATGCTGGAACTGGTGGTGGAGCTGCTGCGGCCTGGCTTTCTGTGAAAGGTCAGACCAGGTCAGGTTGACTGTCCCATCGGACCTCACAGCCGCAGGTGCAGAGTCCAGAAAACCCAAGTCTCTTGGAAATGAAAGGTTCTGCTGAGGAGCTGCGCTGTAGAAGCAAACGTTCTCCTTGCTCAGACAAGTACAGCAGGAGACACAGGAAAAAGCCAAGCTTCCCTCAGGGCCCTGCCAAAGCACTTCAGTTCTGATCTGAGAGCGGGGCAGTTTATCTTGGGATCACAGCAGAGTCCCATCCAACCCCCAGGGGCCTCTGCAGAGAACACAGCGCGGAGGACGGCATGTAGGAGACACAACCTGCAGGACCAGTTCACTGGGCTACCTAATGGCCACTGCCTACATTGCAGTAGTCCTAGAGGTTCCCTATGCTCAGCATGGCACACAGCTGTATTGAGAAGAGTTCACTGTCTAAATACACGACAGGTTGGGATGGGTGAGTGACATGCCGCAGCTCACATGGAGGGTCGGTGGCAGAGGTGTGAGTGGAGCCCAAGGGGAACTCCCAGGCCAGGCCCCGACTTCTAGCTCCTGCTTTCTCCTGTCAAGATGGTAAAAACTTTGGGCTGCCACTGACCTGCGTGGGGACTGAACCGCACCCTCAAGGGGAAAGCTGTTGCCTTATTGCCAGTTCCCCTGAGAGATCCAGCCTGCCACTTCCAGCCTGCATGAAGGCTTCCTCCCTCGCCTGCCACAGCTTGCTTGCTGTCACTCAGGGTCAGCAATGAATTCTGTGTGCATGAGGTCAACCCTGTAGCAGGTCGACTTGTTGGACAGCCAGTGCCAGGCCTGCACCAGGTCAACCCCATGCATCTCTATGGGAGGTTGGCCTCTTGTCCAGACAGTCCCATCTAGTCCTCATGTCCCACCTTGCATTTCTGTGGGGAGTAACCTGTTGTCTGGGGAGCTGCAGGTATGTGACAGGTTAATCAAGTGAATTCCTATGGAATGTCGATCCTGTCCAGGCAGTACTGCCAAGGCACCAGGTCAACCCCGTGCATATCTATGGGAGGTGGCAAGGTTGGCCTGACCCCAGGGATTATTTAGGCAGCAGGATAAGGCTCCCAGGATGATGGGGGCAGCTAGCTGCTGGGCCACTTTGGCCCCAAGCACTGGCAACCATTGGAGTGGCAGAATCGGGCCTCTGGGGTACTACCATGAGCATCACTTGAGGAAGGGGCAAAACAAGTGGGAAGCTGCAGACAGTTTACTTTTGGGCCACCAGGTCACCCCAATACATTGCTGTGGCGGGTTGACCTGTTGAGCAGTCCTGGCTGGGCACCGGCGTGCTGACAGATGTGCAGGCCCCTGCTCTAACTCATGGCACTTTACATAAAGCACCATCAGTTAGAGCACACCCCCAACCCAACAAACATTTCCCCGTTGGGTCAAGGGGCCAGGCTCAAACCTGCTTGCAGGGGTGGGGGGAGCCAGCCTCTCCCCAGTGCTGCCTGTGACCTCCCCAGTTCCAGGACTGTCATCAGGAAGGATGGGGGAAGGGCGAAGCCAGAAGCAGTGAACTGCCAGCTGGGGTTTGCCCAGCCTGAACTGGAGGGGGGCAGAGGACTCCGATCCATCTGTGCCCCCCACCCCTCTCCAGCCCCTGGATAAATTAATCCTAGGATATAAAAGTTCCCTAAGGTGCCCTAAAGATACCTCGTTTGATGAGGGTTAATTTTTCATAACATCAGCTACTTTAAAAGTGCTCTGCAGCTATGCACGTGTCACAGCACAACTATAGGGCACTTTCAGGGGGCTGATTGTGTGCAATCTCTGTCTGTGCCCCATGTCATTATCACTGCATTTCTGTGGGAGTTTGATCTGTTGTTTGAGTAGCCCTTGCTGGGCACCAGGTCACCCATCTGCATTCTTAAGGGAGGCTGACCTTGTGTCCGCAGTCCCACCCAGGCCTCCGGTCATCCACTTGCATTTCTATGGCAGTTGTTCCTGTTGTTCACCCAGTCCCAGGCATGCACCAGGTCAACCCCATGCATTGCTATGAGAGGTTGACCTGTTGTCCAGGGAGCTGCGGGCAGGCTATGGGTTAATGTACCACAGCAGTTTTCAACCTTTTCATTTGCAGACCCCTTTGGAAACTTCAAACGGAGGTGCAGACCCCTTTGAATTGCCAGTGTGGGTATTCACATACTTTGATCGTAGTCATTTTCACAGACCCCTTTGATATAGTCTGCAGACCCCTAGGGGTCCATGGACCACAGATTGAAAACCACTGATCTACTGTATTCCTATGGTAAGTGGACCTGTTGCCTGGGCAGTACTGCCAAGATACCAGGTCAACTTCATGCACTTCTATGGGAGCTGGCAGGAGCAGCAGGCTGTCCAGGTGGCTTGGGGCCTGGTGCCAGGGACCACTGGGAGAATGGGATGAGGCTATGGGAAGCTCGGGGGTTTGGCAGAGGTAGCTGGATGCTTAGCCAATTTGGCCCCAAGTGCTGGAGACTGCTGGGGTGGCAGGATCAGGCCCCAGAACCCCAGGGCACTTTGAGCTGCACCCTGGATGCACACACTTCTCTGGATAAGGGATACACATTTCTCTGGATAAGGGATAAAGAGGGTAAAACCAATACCAGGAACCTCATTAGAAGTCTCCTCTGGCACTTGAGAGGCCTCATTTGGCATTTTCAATAGCTGCTCTCTTTGAGTAAATAACCCCGCAGGCCCTGGGAGCTTGCATGGAGGACTGGACTAGCCCCAACAGCCTTGTGCCATGGCAGAGCCTTGGGGTTCCTGTCCTGGGAGACCCCTGGGGAGAAACCTGATCCAAACACAGGTCTCTCCTCCTCATACTCCTGTACAGGAGTTTGGTAGGGGGGCTCCCAAACGAGGCAAGAACCTTCCATTTGTCATGCAGCCTGGGCAGGTCACAGCAGGTCATGGAAGCCTTCCCTCCCCACCCCCACCCCCCATTAATTACTATTAAAATAAAAAGTTCACTGGAGTGGAACAAACATAATTACTTTTTGGGGAGCCTAATTATCTACGTTTATTGCCAGTGCTTTGTTGTAATTGATTGCTAATGGCTTGCTTCGCTCCTGCATTATCTAATTAATGCCCCTGCAGAAGACTGGATCTCAGGCTTCTCCGGAGTCCCACTGGCCCAGCGCAGCTCCGCCTCTGCTTGTCCCAGTGGGCCCTCTGTGAGCTCCAAGCTGCCTCGTCTTCCAGCTCCTGGCTGTGCGGTGCAGATCCCTCTCTGACTGCTTGATGCACTTCCCTGTGACCGCTGGCTCAGAGCCCACCTCCCACATCTGGTTGCATCCTCTCTCTAGCCCTTGCTAACTGCTCTGACTTCTGGCATGCTCTGGCCTGCTACCTCCAGTGGCAAAGTGACCCGGGGGAGAGCTGCTGCCTCACAGTGCACAGACCTGTCAAATGAAGTGTAGACCTGGTTGGAAAAGGGACTGAACCCAAGTAGATCCAACCCCAGGGGATCCTCCTGGTTGTGGTGACAGATATCTCTTCTGCTTTTTGCTCTGTGAGCCCTGCACTCATGAGAACATACATGCGAGCGTGTCCTGTGGGTGCAACAGTGATGGCATCGCCTGCCAGATCCCA